CGAAACCTTTCATTGTTACAACCGACGCATCTAATTACGCTATAGGTGGAATATTAAGCCAAAGCGAAATAGGCAAAGATTTACTTATTGCATATATGTCATATACGACATAGACTTCTTAACCAGGTGGAACAAAACTACCGATGGCGATAACAGGCTATGATCGAAAAATGAGAATCGTGCTGTTAGAAAAGAAGGTTATGCTATCGAAGATTAATAATATTACGTTCTGCAGCCGCGGCTGCAATGGCATCTTTTGCGTCACTCACATTGCGGCCCATTGTACCAACAAACCGTAGTTTCTCGTCTTATTGCATGGACCATGTGCTAGGATAGTGGATAAAGGTGGAAAGGGTGGATGAGTCGCGAAAGGAGAGAGAGATAGATAGATGCATTTATTTATACTTTAGGACTTTCGACCCCTAAGAGCATACGACCAGTAATACAAAGATTTTAATCCTAAATACATTCTTCCAATATTTGTTTACACAGTCCATTTATTGAATTATTCGATGAAGTTAGCTACTACTTCTAGAGACTATTACTTTTTGTATTATAATTTTGTAAGTGTAATTCAATCCATGATCTCCTGATAGAGAAAATTATATATGCGGGATTTGAAAATTGCAACAAATTCAGATAATCGTATATTATCCAATAATGAGTTCCATGAGTGCCATGCAAGTAAATGATTTGTAGTACGTTTCTGTTTTACATGTTGGATGACTGTAGTATTCGACTTAGTTCATTGTTATTTTACCAATCATGCTTGTATCTGATCTATATAGGAAGTTCTCAAATAGGCAGGAGGGTTTTGTCAAGACTGCACAGTTAGTTTATTCAGAAAGTACTTTCTTCTATCTTCTAACTTGAACCATTTTAATTTTCAAAAAAATGGTGTGACATATTTTTGTATTATTTAATGTTGAGTATAAATCTAATTATTCGATTTAATCTTCGTTGTAATTTCAGGTTCAGTTCTTTGATGATATTAGCAAAGACGACGCAGCAATAATCTCACGTGAGGAAGAATTTATATAAACGCAGATCTATCTTGTAGCGTGATATATCAAATTGGACATATCAAATCGCACCATTAGAGTGATTTGTTTCAAATCTATGGCACGTCGAATATCATCAATTACTTTCTGAACCAAGGTCTATATTATATCTTTTCTTGTATGCTGAATGCATGCGATCAAATAAATTATTTTCTTCGAAAAAGTCAATTACTTGATCATCCACAATTTTTTCGAGTGGGTTGGACATTAAATTTAAAAGTGAAATCGGACGAAAATCCTCTGGCTTTGTGGCAAATTTGGTTTTTGGTATCAGTCTAATATACAATCGTTTCCAGTTATCAGGAAAAATTGAGCTGTATAGTCAGTAATTATATACATGTAGTATATATAGAAAAATTACAGGTAATGTTTTTTTCAGCATACTGAGTGATATGAGGTCAGGACCCGTGGATTCTGATGCTTGTCTTAAAGTATTCTTTTCCAAAAGAGAATGTTCAATATCACGAAAAAAACAGATTGGAGTCATTAAATTCAAGCTCGACTTCTTTTAGCTATTGTATTGAATTCCGTGATGTTCCCATTTGGATAAAGTAGGCATTTAGAGTATCTGTGTTTATGTCCAATTTATTCTCACTTTTTGCAGATGAAGTCCTAATTTTCACATTTCTTGCCAGATGGATTTAGTATCAGAAATGGAACTAAAACCTTCATTATAATATTTCTTTTGCGCTTGTCTAATTTGCATAGTTTTCTATATTCCTCAAAGAATTTTGTTGATCCTGACCTAAGGACTATCTTCCTTTTAATGTCATCCGAGTCCTTATATCGTCATTTAACTAAAGAGCAGGCTTATTTCTATATGCTATCGTGTGAATTGGTGCATGCTTATTATAAGTATTAATGTCAGTGCTGCTTTATATATCTACCATGCAAGTGACAGAGTTAGCGTGGTATAATTCAGTCCAGTCGAAGATCTCCAAGAAATTCATTGTTGCTCAAATTTTTTATGTTCTTACATCTTACTCTCCGCGAGAAATAGAAGAAAGAACCTTATATTTATACATAATGAATATTAGATCATGGGCCGAGAGAAATATGACTGAGAATTGTCCTGATGCTTGTCCTGAATTAGCTTGTCATGGTCACCTATAAGACAATAAGTGTATTTGAGTGGATTGTATGATGCGTAGTTTGAACATCACAAGGTAGAGATTGGAGGATTCAATCAAGTTGACGAGTTGTTTCTTATCAAGGGATGCTGTAAGATGGTCAGTATTGAAATCTCCCAGAATGATTGAGTAGCTATACCTGTTTGTTAGATTCATAAATTTGTTTTCAAACTCAGATAGAAAACCAACTTTCGGTGAACGGTATACTGCAATTAGGATTTTGATCCTATCTTTACAAAGCGCATTATCATATATTCCGGGAGATGACAATATGTCTCATTTGATGTTGCAATTTTTCGAACCTGAAAAGAAGTATGTACGTAGATTTCAACTCCTCCTCTCACTTTATCAATTCCGTCATGCCTCAATAAGTTATATTTTGTAGGCTGATCAGTAGTCATGTTTCTGACATGCAAATTAAGTGGAATGATTCCTTCACAAAGAAATTTCGGAATCTATATGTCTAAGAAACGTTTGATAGTTCACATGACAGACTTGAAGATGATCTATAGTGCCTGAAAGTTGATTAATCATAATTAATATTGAGTACTTTCTATGTTAGTCTACGCTTAAATATTGAATATTTAATCTTATCTAGTGCAGTTGAGATCAGTAGAGTCTGCCCGTTTGTAGTTAAAACAATGTAAGGCCTGTGATTTCTTAGGACATGTTTTAGACTGATGCTTTGCTGATCGTATCAAGTCTTAAAAAATTCGTCTTAACTATTTTATTCACAAAATGAACTTGCCTCACTTTCAAGATCAACGACTTATATAGTGTATACGTATATACAAGAGCTCGCGTGTTTTCTAGCTCGCAGTCTTTCTTTTTAGCGAGCTAGATATCCATTTTTAACGATTGTTTCATGGATGTTTTCGCGTTGAGGACGATATTACTTTATAATATTTTTTTAATTATTCCCACCCTTTTTTGTCTCTTTTGCGTCTCTTCTCCTTTCCCTATAAGAAATCTTCTACGTATATCTAAACTAATGTAGTATGTGTGTATAATCATTTGTTTAGTAGAAATCTCTCGAAAGATTATCATCTAAAATCGTAGTACTATAAGTTCAAATTGCTTATTCGCAGAAATTTCTTTTTACTTATATATTTAATCATTTATTTGAGACCGTGTCAATAATAATGCCGTAGATATATTCTGCTGTTAGTAAAAAGCAATCGGTAAATAAAAATTAATTTGTACTATAATGGTTTAAAAACAAAATAGAGAACTAATTTAATAAAAATAATAAAAAGAAGTTATCATTTAATCATTCATTTAAATTTTATACATAATAAGTCAGAATAAATATAATAAACATTAATAAGGACGTTAACAATAACAATAATGGCAATAATTAAATTAAGTTCATAATTTTTGTTAAGATAAAATGTTATGCGAACTAATTCTTTATGTTGTTTGAAATAAATAAATAAAGTTATGTTCCTTTATAATAAGAATAATTACTAGTTATGAGATTGAAACAAATTAAATCCATTATTAGTTACGTCATTGAACGGTACGAAATTCGACGAATAAATTCCAAGTACGACTATTGTCGTAAATATTATTACTACTTTTATTCAGTAATTAAGCACCTAACAAATTTTGCCAATAGTACGCTAATTAACTGCAATCATTGTCGTGAGATTATTATTTTTCATTATATTTTAAGATGATCATTGTCATAAGTATTATTATTTTATGTTCGATATATATCGAACATATCGATTCCAAAAATTTTTAAAAAGTGAAGTCACAAAGAATATATTATGATAAATAATGCTATAGTATTGAAAACACGTTTCATTTCATAAAATCCTAACAAATAAAACTGTGAAAAACCTATTATAATAAATCACGCCGTAACGTTCATGCTATTTATCGAATGTATCGATTTTGGAACTTTTACCGATGTAAACCTATAGGAAACATATTATAATAAATTCCTGATATTTATAGAATATTCCTGATATATGTAGAATAGTCGAATCCGAGAACTCTAGCAAGTGAAGCTACAGGAAAGGTATTACAAGTCGCGCCGTAACGACTTCGACGTATCTTCGATGAAATTTTTGCCAGCAACATTATAAAAAACCATATAATAATACAAATTATGAATTTTTTTAATGAATAAAACCTATAAAAAAGATAGTGCAATAAATCGCATTGTAGCGATATATCGAACATCTTTATTCTAAGAACTGAGTGAGCAAAAAATGAGCAAGAGTATGAATTATACACATGCTGCATGTTAGAATGTATCACGAAACGATACTTATCGTTTTGATTCTAAGAAGCGTTAATAAGCAAATGTAATTTCAGTATACTTCTAAAAGACGCAAAAAAATTGCTAATACGGGACAGGCCTATTAATTTTATTTAAAAATAAAATAATTCTTTGAAATACCAGATAATTGAGTTAGGTTCAAAATGATACATTCTTTTTTAATAATAAAAAACTATTAAATTCAAGCGTTATTGTTCTATTTCATAGTAGCGCCAATGAATTAATTATTTATTTTATTATATTTTCATTTGATATATTTCTATAGCGCAATATAAAAATGTATTCATGATTCTATTTCTTAGAAGCATGGGAATTCAATATAATTTTCAAGGATAATGTGAAACAACTCATTACTTTGTAAGGAGATGCGTGAGTAGACACACGTGCAGGAATGTAACTGGGTTGCGATTTTTCGTCCTTGGCAGAATAAGCGCGCGAGCGAACTCGCGCTTGTAAAATATATGTCATGACACAACCATGCAAAAAAGTGGGAAACGCCTAAAGTCTATCGACATAAAAATGCGATCTCCGGAGCAGCGAAGCGGTAGAGTATGAAAAGAAGAGTATTAGTTACTAGATTTCGAGAGACATAAACAAGCAGTATTATAATTTCGTCAGTTTTTTCAATTCCTAATGTTGCGTCGTGAGAACGCAACTACGAGAGTGTTTCTAGATACACGTCTCGCACCTGACCAGTAATGATAATTGATTTGCACGGAAAATATCCCCCATCTCTTCCTTGTCATCCGAGCTATAGACATACTGGTTACGATGAATAAGACCGACGGCACTAAGCTAGGATATCTTTGAAGGCCGTCAGCAAAATACCGCTCGCCGCGTTCCCGCAAATTAATAAGAGAACGCGTGTTCTTTGCGTTCTTTTAAAGGATCCCGTGAGACTCGCAAGGTAGATGCGCGATATCAAATATTGTACGCGTTGAAGTTATCATCGTATATTTTAATGAAATAAGTTACAATTGTTTTTGTGTTTCGTGTAATGATGTGTAGTTAGTTGTACTGGCTGTTTCTGAATAAGACTTGAGAGCTTAGAAGTGGTGAGTCTGAAAGATGTAACTTGACTGACTTTTTTGGCGTATTTAGAACTATCCACGAAGACTGTAATGAGATTAGAAAAGGAAATAAAAATTGGTCGGGGACAGTTCATTGGAATGTTTAAACATAATTTATTCTAGTGCTCGTGTAGATTAGAGGATATCAATCGATATTTCAAAACTATAAGTCAGATAACCCTAGCCTTATCGCGCCTAGGCGTTTACTTTCACTATTTACTTATGGGCTTGACATATTATTCAAACCCAGGTACTTTACTAAGAATGCCTAAGAATACCAGACAAAGGTGGCCATGTGTTTTTTATCTATGCATTTTGTTATCTAATATCCAATAGGTTTCCAAGAGGGAATATTTCTAATGATGATATATGATTATGAAATAAACACAGCTTCGTCAACGCTCAAGTGAAAACATTTTCGCAACTGGTTTGTTCTATGCCGTACATATCGCATATGATCTTTTAACCTTTTAGCTACTAAATGCCATTATAATGGCTTTCGCATATTATCTTTTTGAAAGGTACGCCACTATAGTGGCATTCCCACAAGTCATTTTTTCGAAGGATAAGAAGTCACTATAATTACATTCATGGATATCATATTAACTTATTGTGTATTTTTTGAATTCGTTACATAAAAATATATAAGTAAATTATTCATGTACATCCCTATTCCGATCTAATGTTCGATTTAATAATAAGAAATGTCATCTATAGATTAAGCGCCGAAACTTTGCACATCAAATAACAATAGTAATATTTTTATTTAGCTTTGTTCGATATACTATAGGTATAATCAGGCTGTGACTTTCAGCAGCTACGACTTTGACTTCAAGAAGAGTCCATGAAAGAATAAATGATTTCTTTTGTGTTCACGGCATCTTTATCGTTTACTTTATTTTCGGCGGCTTTGTTGTTTCTCATTTTGTTTGGTTAGTTTCCCACGTGTGCGTGTGGTGGCGCCGAGGCGTGTTAATTACGTGTATTGCTGGAAAACGCGTTATATTCGCAACGAAATCATAATTGCGATTATTGCGCCAAAGCATTGAGTAACTACAACGTTATAGTCATTTTTATAAAATAAAATAAATTATAAATTGACCTTTGGTATTACCAATACTTAAACTATTAGTTGAATTTAACGTTTTAAGGCTGTTAACTACCTTTTGCACTAAGTGTGTGTGATGTCAGCGATAGGTATGGGCAAAATATGAACTAGAAAACAAGCAACGGTATCTGTCCCCATCGTGCATCTATTGTATCAGTTATTTCCCTTAGTTATTTCCCTCTCACGCGTACATAATAATTGGTTTCGTTGGATTATAGTAAGTTGCGTTAGTAAGTAAATTGTGAACTTCCACTTTTCATGCTCTTATATGTATACCTTTGATGGGACCGTTTATCTCGCAGTGGTCCGTATTAGATACGATGTCATCGTATCTTTTTGAAATTATTTCATGATAGATACATAGAAAATAATAAATATAATTAACATATAAGAATTAGTATACAAATCTGCGATAAAAAATAAGAATTTGTCGAATTTTTTCTAAAAAATGATTAATGAATACTTATATATTATATTATTAAGATTTATATTAGTAAGATTAGTCCACTTTATTCTGCTTCAACTGTCACTACTACTACTGATAATAATAACGATATAATATAATATAATGTAATATAATAAAATATAATATAATAATACTAATAATACAGACTTTGAAGAGTCAATTAAAGGGGTATCAAGCGCCTAGCATATGCTTCAAAGATGAAAATGATAAACTTGGCCTAAGCAATGCTGAAAACTGTGAAATACTTGCGAAGCATTTCGATCAACTTTTAAACTGCCCTGAACCAAAACATAAGTTGGACTTCTCTGAAACAACTGAGAATCTGGAAGAAGATATACCACCCAATGCTGAAGAAATTAAAGAAACAATTAACAATCTAAAAAATAATAAAGCTAGTGGAGAAGACTCTATAACAGCTGAACTTTTGAAATGGTCTCAATCAAAAATCATTGAAGAACTACAATTAATCTTTGAAGATATTTTGAGAACAGAGAGATTTCCAGAAGAATGGAAAGTAGCTCTAATTCACCCATTACATGAAAAAGGGGACAAACTGAATGTTGATAATTACAGAGGCATCTCTCTTCTGCAAACTGCATACAAGATAATCTCAAAAATATTGCTGAATAGAATAGAAACAACACTTGACAAGCAACTGGGCAAGTATCAAGCTGGATTTCGAAAAGGTAGATCTTGCTCAGAACAAATATTTAACTTAATATCCATAATTCGCCAAAGGATACTGAATTCAAAGGACATAGGTGTAACTTTTATAGATTTTAAAAAGGCATTTGACTCGGTTGATAGGGAAACTATAGATAAAACAATACGTGAATTTGGAGTTAAAAATAAATTGGCAAACTTAATACGTGAAACATTTGCTGTTTCATCACGATTTCGAAAATAAAATTTATGGGTGAGATATCCAAACCTATTGAGAATATATATATAGTATATATATATATAGAGAATATATATATAGTATAGAAGAATATATATATAGTATAAATACAGGTGTAAGGAAAGGTGATGGTTTATCACCTCTTCTCTGTTCAACTGTATTCTAGAAAAAATTGTCAGAATTTAGAATGTAAAGCTAAAAGAATATAACATTTCGCCAGTAACTTTGGGGAGAAAAAACAAAGGCATTGAAATAAGTTGCCTAGCATTTGCAGACGATTTTGCTATAGTGTTAGACAACCTAAAAAGTGCAACAACACAAATCAATCTCTTGGAAGAAATAGCCAACAAAGCAGGTTTGAAAATTTCGGTAGAAAAAACTAAATTTATTACAAACATCAAGAACGCTCCAAAATTTTTGACTACAGATATTGGTCTAGTGGAAAAAGTAAAGAAATTCAAATACCTGGGAGAAATAATTCAAGAAAATGGTTTAGAAAAATCTGCAGTAGAAGAAAAGTTACCCAAGATGGAAATAGCGTATGGTATCACTAAGAATTTTTACAACAAAAGGTGTTTATATAAAAATCTTAAAATAAGGCACTACGCTACAGTAGAAACTGGAATGCTTATACGCGAGTGAATGCTTGGTTCTAAATTATAGATTAGATAAACTAGAAGTACTAGAAAGGAGAATCATGAGAAAAATTTTAGGTCCAGTGAAAACAACAAAAGTATGGAAATTAATATCTAATAATGAAATATACAGGAACATAGAAGGCATAACTGAAACGACAAGGAAAAGAAGACTGCAATTTTTTGGCCATATTTACAGAATGGATGAGTCCAGATTAACAAAAAGAATACTCATGTACCTTTGGGAGAAAAAGGCAACAACTAGTTGGATTCAAGAGGTAAAGAAAGATCTAGAAAGAAATAATAGAAATATAAGTGAAGAAGAAACTATAGACAGAGAGATTTTTAGAAAGAGGGTATTAAGAATGGAAGGATTTCAAGGAAGATTGAAGAAGAAACCTGGTGCGAAGTGGTCTGAGGACAGAAAGAAACAGCATAGTGAAAAGATGAAGGAATATCGGAGGGAACGGAAAAGAAAACAGCTAAGTGTGAAGAAGTGAAATTGGCACGTCGTCCCTAGCAGGCCTCATCGAAAGAAGAAGAAGAATACTAATAATAATAATAATAAAAATAAACTTAAATATTATTTATATACACCTAGATATTATTTAATACATTTTATATTATAACAATAAAGACAATCAGTTTCGACTGATCGTGGTGAAGAAATAATGTGGAAACAAATACATAACGACCATAAGATAGTAAGACAATGATAGCGGATGAAAACCTTTTCATGATATGTTGTTTTCTTCTCCACTGCGTTGTCGTCGCTGCGGCGGCAACTATAAACAACTTCGTATTTTTATACATATATGGAGATATTTCGGCATCTGTTTATTCTAATCAATCTGGTCAAATGTTCCTGGAGTAGCTGGTAGCTCATTGTAAAAACAACTTAGAGTTGCTAAAAGGTCTTATTAAAAATTGCTTAGAGTGCAAAGAGTTAGTCGTATCTATCGTTGGATAGTCATGCGTTGAAATTATCAAGGACACGATTTGTTGAGAGTTCGTGCATAAAATCATCACATAAAATGACGCTTTTTACTCCTTTTGTTACCATAAATTACCGTTAGCATATGTGTCATGATGTATATAATATAAGTATATTTTTCTATTTTTTCTTATTACTATTCTTATTATTATATTATTATATTACATATTATTATTATAGTAATAGTAGTATTAATAGTAATAATATGAAGTGAACTCCTACAGAGGAAACCGTAACAAAATAGCACTGGGAGAAAAATCTCTTAATGTGGAAACGAACTCGTGTTTTAATTTTTTTTTTAAATAATATATAATATATATGTTCACTATAATATATATACTCCATACGCATGTCATCGAACAAAATTATTCGGCTGTGTCCTATTTAGTAGAGATCACCGTCAGAAATTCAACCATCAGTGGAGGAATTAAATATAAGAGATTGAATAGCAACACTGTACTAAATTATAAAATGAAGAGAAAAAGAGTAAATTAATTCATTATTTTCGTTTATATTGATACAATAAAAAAATAACTGGAAACATTTCTAGCCTCGAAGCTAACATTTCTTTAATTATCAATCTGGATACTTGCCAATGTGTTATACATTGCTTATAGAATATCTGTCTTTTTAATCTATAAAATCTATAAGGAATTATAAATTTTTCCGAAATTTAACAATATTTTAGAAACTCGAATATTACTCGAAAGCTTACTAAAATGACCGATTGAATTACCGTAGCTTCTCTGTGAAAAGCATTTCTTTGCGTTTGAAAATATTCAGAAAATTTGACTATCGGCTATTTACGCACACAGACGAGCTACTTCACGGATATATAAACATACTACATTCAATCGTGTATATAATGATCAGTAGAGGGGATACAAGTTTCTCTTCCGCCGCAAATTTCTAGTACTAAACTTTTTCATCGCGAAAAATATCGAAAATATCATTTACTTCATCAACAGGAGTAATTTTTGACCAATTTTGATGAAGGAAGTCTTATTTTAATCATGAATCTACTATAAATCTTCGTCGAATTTTTGGAAAATCTTTTTATTTGTTTATAAAATTCTTGAAAAAATACTATTTTTAACACGATTTTTTTGTAATAAAATAAAGGTTTTTCAAAAATTTGGAAAAATTATGTACTAGATTAATCCTTCGTCTTTAAAATGCGACCTTATTGTTCAAAATCGGTCAAAAATTACGCCTGTTCTCATTGATTACGTAAATCATTATAAAACCATGTTTAATGAACATCACTTAAACTAAAAAAATGTATATCTATTTTATTAATAATGCTTTTTTATGGGAAAAGAAATATTTTTATACAAAATATCTATTAATGATTGTAAAAATTTGTAAGTTAGATTCAAGTACAAGTCAATTAATAGTAAACGTAGATCATGTTAATGCAAAATAGCCATTGCTACTTATAGCATATATAAAATCACACTAGCATAAATTAATTTACAATTAAAATGTTCACTATCTATTTAATCTTTGCCTAGTGTAAGTCAATGTATATATTTAATTTGTTAAATAATATTTTTGAAACAAAATAAAGAGTTGAAAATTATATATTATGTTTTATACTATTGGTTACATTTGTTGTAGATTATGGTAATACCTTAATAAACAATAAACACAGATTTGTTAATGTTTTAAATGAAATTGAAAAATTTGAACATAAATAACAGTAATTTAGAAGACAATAAATATATTACATACATTTTATTACAAAAAATAAAATATTATTACTTTTTGTTTTTATATCACTATTACCATATATCAACATAAACATAGTTGTTGAGTTACGCTTTGGAAAATCTCAACATGCTTGAGTCTCATAAACAATTGCTTTTTATTGATCATCTACATAGTAGAGTTTTATCTGTGCTGGAAAGATTCAGTTTTGAATCTCAAAGTTTAGATACCTTATGTTCAGTTTCATATGTGTGTTCTAAGATTGTAGATGATTATTATTATTATAATTTTTATTTATTTTTAATAAAAACATGATAAAATGTAAATATAATATATAAGTTACAAATTTATGTTCGTTATCATGAAAAAACATGAGCTTTCCCAACAGACGGATGTGTCTTAGGATTAGATGTCCTTTGATTCTAATATAAGTATGTAAATGTTTTAAAAAATATTCCATTGCATAGAGTAATCTAATTAGTACATTTATATAAATAATTAATATTGTTTTGAAATATCATTATGAATTTCACTTGAAAATAAATTAGATTTTTGTTACTTTGCGACTTATGCTACTGCTGTCTGTAAAGTTTCAGATTTTCTATAAGGAAATGTTAAAAGATATGAAATTGCAAAGCCAAAATTTTGACTCTTATATCAAAACCATAAAAGTCGTTTCATTGGTATGAAAAGAAAAACAATTTCTTCCATAGCCGCATATTTTCTTATTAACCTATATCCTTCCCTTTTTTAAATACAATCTTTTATCCATTTTTAATTTAATGCCACGTTCAGAATCATTAATTTTTCCGTACTAATGATGAATATTTTATAAAATTATATACCAGTTTCATGTATTAGTGAACTGGGAATTCTTGGCCGTTTTTTTATACTTTGAAGATTAACTTTCTGAAGATGTTTTGGTAATATATAATCATAGGATAACTCTTTAACAATTTGTTACATAAAATGACAAATTAACTTTGTGTTTTTTAACAGAAAAATATATATAAATAAATAATCTTGTAAAAATGCAGAATTTTTGAAGTTATATGTATATAAATTGATTGATGAGTAAAAACTTCATAATTTGATAATAAAAATATCTCATCTATGAAATTACATAAGAAAACTATAAAATAATAAGAATGATTAAAATAACACGAAATATAATTATAAAATATTAAAATGTTTTTGATGTGTCAATTGTTAAGGCAATATGGACAAATGACAAAATATTTTACATTTTCTATGTATTAACCAAGAGTGGTATTACGAGTTAATAGATTTAGAATAGTTAGTAATAAGATTTAATAGTTAAAAATTCTATTCGATTAATCGTAATTTTTTGAATTTATGCAAGATATTTTAAAAGCGTGATACAGAAAATAAAATAAGATATAAAGTTTTTTACGAAGTTTCATATATTGCTCTATGTACAGATCACATACATTACAAGCAAAGAAGTAAAATGCGCTGTTTGCAAGCTATGTGGAGTTTTGTTTTATTTACTAAATATCATACTTTAAAAAGATTTTAGTACGCACAATTTATATCAAAAACGCATATAATTTCAAAGTATTTGTTGAAAACAAATATTAATATGACGATGTTAGAGATTTAAAAATATTTTATAAGAAAAAAGATGGTTAGTAATAAGATGTCTGATCCATAATATGTTAAAATCGTATAATATAATGACATTGTGTTTTCAATTTCTGATGAACAGATTATAGTAGAAAGTGTAATTGAAAATTTTAAACATTTTATTGTTACAAATATTTCTATATCATTTAGAATAGAATAAAATAGTTAGCTAGTGTATAATATTAATTCTTTATTCATTCATATAATCAATGTTTTATAATATTAGATACGTTTATATAACATTACGTAAAGCTTATATGAGAATATGTATCTTATTTTCTCCTTTGATTGCCGATAAATGATGCTTTACCGATTTCTTTCTCCTTTAGGTTCACCTTTCACCTTTATCGTAGATTGTAAATAACAATTTTAATTTCTTCACAACGTTCAAAAAAATTGGCCTATTCGATCTTGAGTTGCCATTGTATTATTTCTTGTTGACAAGATGAAATTTTTTCTTGAACCCGTGTACACGTATGTATATAAGTGTGTGTGTGTGTGTGTGTATGTGTGTGTTTGTATATTTATATATATATGTACATATATATATATATATATATATATATATATATATATATATATGGCGTATGTTTAATGAAGGCATATATGTAAATTCGTCCGCTAAGACAAATTCTTGTCAATTAAACTTTGCATTCTTTTCAAAATCATTTATTATAACAATCACTTTTTGTGTAACTTTTTTTATTTTATTTTTTTCTTAGACATGGTGATAACAAGTGTTTTATGAGTCAACAGGCATTTTTCTTTGTAAGATCTTTTTTCTAAGTATCCAATGTGATTTAGAAGGCAATGAAGGATGGAGACTATCTTCGAAATGGAGACTAATAGCGTAACAATACGAATATTTTATGTAATACATTATAGATTGATGTAAAAATATACAGAAATGAATTATTGTGTGTGTGTGTGTGTGTGTGTGTGTGTGTGTGTGTGTGTGTGTATAGAATGATACATATACACTTTCATATATTAGGTGGACCGGAAAGTAATGTCGTTTCTGCGCATGTCGATATTCGATTGTGATTAAAAATAAAAACTTGTTAAAAATTTATTCGTTTGAATTTAATTTAAGAAAGCAACATTACTTTCCGGTCTCCCTAATATATATAATAAAGAGCATGCAAGTCG